TTCAACCTTTTCCAAATTAAATATTAATGACACTCCAATGCGAAAACTGACTTGACTTTTATATCAAACTATATAGTATGTTTCTTATATAATTCTAAAAGCATGATTTACGTTATAATTCTAATCAAACTGTTATGTTTCTTATAACAATTGTTCTAACTAGTAGGTATGCAAATTTTACTAAATCAAAGGGATGCTATGATACCGTTTTTAGATTTTTTTTGCTATAGATGAAATTTGAACCCTTCATATACAATCCAAGAAGGAACTGACTTGAGTCCCTTCCTAATGGCAGCTCAGTGGTTATATTTGCTCTTTCTTGGGATGGTGGCTTACAGAACTTTTGGCCCGAAAATATCCACCGGCCGTTGCAGATCGCGACCATCGGCTACAGTTATCCCACAAATAATACGGCCGACAAGTGGGAATTCCGGGTCCAAGAAAGAGACCATCGTGGATTTGGCTTGCGGCAATCATGCTTTTATTGCTGCCGCGACTCGGACGTTAGCGAAGAATCGGGTACAGACAGGTGAACTCCTTTTTTCTTTTCTCAAACATTTCTTTTCAGACAAAAAAAAAAAAAAACCGACAAAGTGCAGCTAAATTTGCACATGCAATTGCAAACAAGCAAATAGCATTGTGGGTCAAATTACTTCTATTTATTTATTTTCCTAGCTAGTGGTTGTTATTGAATTTGATATACAAATGCTCAAAACAAGTGCAATCAAACATTTTGCACATTTTTTTTTTGTTTTAACTGATATATGGTATTTCATTAGGATAGGCGGCTAATTTCTTAAAATATACCTAAAAAAAAAATGTCCATCAAATGTACCTTTGACATAGCCCTGATACCAAACTATAGCTTTCGTACCTAGTCAACACGACAGCAAAATTTTTTTTTTTTTTTTAAAGTTGCAGGCTACTGTGTTGACTATGCACGGTAGCCTGCAGCCGAATTTTTTTAAAAAGGCAGCCTTTTGCTGTGCACAGTCAGCATGGTAGCAGGTGCCCTTTTGAAAAAAAAAATCGCTGCAAAATTGTCTAGAACTTAGTTTCAGTCGTTGTCTCCTACCGTGTTGACTGTACACGATAGGGGATTTTTTTTTTGAGAGTAATACCAAATATCCCCTAATTTGAATAAACTTTTTAGTAGATTTTTTAACTCCGGTCTTGATTTATTTTCTTCAATTTCCATTTCATCTTCTTCTCTACTGAACCTCTAGAGAAAACTCGATGGTTAACTTTCCTTGTCTGTTCAAATGTCTAACATCAAAATTAGAATTTAAATCAAAATCTGAAAGTGGGAACAAAGTGTCATCTTTAAAAAAAAAAAAAACCTAATGACAGTAAATACATCAAAACGTACAACAGATAAAATAGATGGGAGAAATTTCTTCGAAACTCCAAAATGTGATTCTCGAGTAGATTAATGAAAGTCTTATAAAATTGATTACATTTTCAATCAATTCAATTTCAGGGTAAACATGCAATCAATATGCCCAAGTATAGCTCTGCCGTGGTTTTCACGGTACAAGCACTTCTTCATTCTCAAAGAAGTCATTAGCATACTAAACAAAGAAAAGGACCTAAAAGGAAAAAACAAGAAGAAGAAGAAAAGGATCTAATTACTAAGAATCACAAAGGTTAGTTTGGTTGAGAAAGGAAAGTAGTACTTTAGAACAAAGGTAGAGGTTGAGATCCTCGAAATATCATAACTATTCAAATTAGGGGATATTTTGTCTAACTCACAAAAAAAAAAAAAAAAATCCCCTACCGTGTAGGGTCAGCACACGATAGGGGACAACGACTGAAACCAAGTTTTAGACAATTCTGCAGCAACGTTTTTTTTCAAAAGGGCACTTGCTACTGTGCTGACTGTGCACGGTAGCATGCCGCGTTTTTTAAAAAAAATTCGACAGCTGGCTATTGTGTTGACTGTGCACGGTAGCCTGCAATTTTTTGTTTAAAAAAATTTGCTGCCGTACTAATTAGACACGACAACTATAGTTTGTACAAAGCGTCTGCCAAAGGTATCTTTGACGGACTTCTTTTTCAGCTAAATTCTAAGAAATCAGCCAAGATAGGCAAACAAACCCTATTGTTTTGATTAAGTATTATTTGAAATAATTACTGTAAATTTTTTTGTATTGTGATGTATGTGACATAAAAAAGTGATTGAAAATATAAAAAATATATTAAAAAGTATATTTATAATATAAGCGAAATATTATTTGGCACATGCATTGTGTTTTAGAATGACCAATGGTAATTCTAAAAAGCCCTTGAACGCTCATGGTTCCCAAACAAATTGTTGAAGATTATATCCTAACGCGGATCTCGTGTAAAGTCAAACGAGTCGGTTCGGTCGCGTTTCCTTTTTACGTTGTGTCGTAGCCTTTGGAACCTGCTTGAATCACATAAGAAAGTGAGTTTCTGTCAGCTACTTTCTTTAAGAAGGTAATCGTGGTGTTAGCACGTTTTTTTCGACTCTTTGCATACTGCTATAATCAGCTCCAATATTTTCTTCATAAGCTCTATTTTTGTTGGCTCTCTATATGATTCAAATTTATTGCTGATTTTAATAAGAGCAATGATTGAATTTTCCATTTTACCTTTGATTGCCGGTGTGGAGAGCTGATAAATTGGGGTGAATTAATTAAGTATAATAGCAATATTGGCCATGCAAATATAGTTGAGGGATTATTTGGGCATAGGTAAAACAGTTAAGGCACTAAATTATCTCATAACATAATTTAAGGACTATTTTGGCTTCATTAAAGTAATTGAGGGACCAAATTAGCGCTGAATAAAGTTTAGGGACTATTTTGGCTTTAGCAAAAGAGTTTAGAGACTACGTTGGTGTTTTGCTCTGCTTCTGAAATGAAAGACCCCCTTTTCTTTGTTACATTTCTTTAATTAGTTACTTCCGCATAATTAAGTTTTGTGAAATTTAAGGAAACCGGAATATTAATCAAGGAAATCCCACCTTGGAAGAGACCATTAACCCAAACAGCAAAGGTGTTTCTGGGATGTGCTGCCAAACCACCATGGAACCAACCAATCACCTGCACATTTTTCTTTAATCGCATTATGATATGGTGTAGCTTCTGAGCGTACGGGCTGGTGAAAAAAAAATGAAATGGACTCCTTTAGTCTACTACAGGTTACATTTTTCTTCGGAGGAAATCACATCAAGAGCAGCAAAATTGGCATTTTCTCTCGCCAACCCAATTCAACAATTTAAACTGGATTTCTCCATCTTTCATTCCACGAGAGGAATTTTCACCTGGAAATGGAAATGACAAACTCCTCCTTGTACGACAGACTGAAATTAGGCATAGTTAGTTGTTTACCAATAGCAGCCTGCCGGAGTAGTAACCTACTAACCAACTACATGCATGCCTAAATCTTGACGACAGAGCAAGACGAAACCGACTAGATGCAGCAGAACAATCCAAGTTGTTGGAGAACTTGGAAGAAATCTATCCTCCGAAAATATTTCTTTTAAGTTGTTGCAGCCTTGAAGGCTTAGCTACCATGTGCAAAGCACTTCCAATTTTGATGTTCCTGGCATCCTGTAGAGATCTTCCTGGTATCTGAGGTTAGCAGGGTTAGAAATTTTCCCTGTCTGGTATCACTGTCGGCTGAAAGTAAGTTAATTGGGAACAAGAATGAAACATAAACATCTTATGGTTGAACTCACACAAGGAAAGAGAAACCAAGATGACTTTTACAAAATAAAAATCCGCAACTATCATTGCAGTTCTTTTGTGGATTTAATCGTGTTCACTAGAGCAGCTCGCGTTTCTTTGCAAACAAAGAAAACATGTATAACGGAGAGGGGAGGTCCAACCAACAATTGCAACATTCATGGATTATTCAAGGAGATGACACATTCTCAGAACAATAGCCACCTTCACTCAACATTTTTTTTTTAATAAAACAGAGGGCACAATCTGCAAGGACAATTTGGTGGTTTCAGGCCAATTTGATTCTTTGGCACCGATTCCATCGTTTATTTTTACGGTGTTTCTTTCTTTCTTTTAACTGACATACTTCAGCAGACCGATTCTTCGTTGGCCATGGCCAAATCTTCACGCAGCCACAAAAATGAGACTTGAACACTTTTGTAGAATTTGTGCATTTATTTTCTTGCCTCTAATAAGTTTACACCGCCCATTTTTTTTTTTTTTTCCAAACGATAACATTACACCGCCCATTTGGCTCGAAGATTATTTTAAATGTTTTATTATGCATTATTTTTTTAGGGGTGTGATGTATTCAAGAAAAAAAAAATTAAACACATGGTGACAATTTTTTACGTTTTTCAAATGGTCATATCTCAAAATGATTTGTCCTAATAAACTTTGGCACACAAATGTATAATTTTTTTCACACACCATATTAATATTGCTAAAAAAAATTACTCAAAAGTGGAAGGTTATCGAACTTTATCTATTAATTGTGTTTAATTTAAATTTTTACTAAACTCAAGTAGTGCTTACTTTTTTTTTTGTCAATACGATACACTATGGAAGGGGAAGGGACTGAACCACCACCGGACCAAACGGGATGCGTAGAGTGCACTACGCACCCGTTTAGATTTTTTTAAACAAGATCACATTTAATTGTGACAAATTGAAAGGAGATAAAGGATTTGAACTCTTGCCACCCACTCTCACCAAACCTTAATGCATTAGTTGTGGCCACCAACCTTTGGCTGGTGGTTCAAGGTGTGCTTACTTAAAGTCATTATAAAACGCAGTCCAAAATGAATATAAATTAAGGTAAATGTAAATCTTAAAAAAATAGTGATATATAATCCGAATCCCATAATTGGGAAGCTTTTAATTGAAAAGGGTAATAGAAATACATTAGCTCTAAGTTTTGAGATGATGAACAATTAAGCACAATTCAAAATCCAATTTCACAACTTTTATTAGATGTAAAAAAAAATATTTTTTTGGGAGGAAATTTAGACGATGAATTTTGATTCTTCCAGCCTCAAATCTAATTGGAATAGCAGTAGTTTGGTGGCATCCATTTATCTCCGCACAGATGGAAAACGACAACGTTTTCCCCGAGGTTTACACATAATCAGCGATCCAAGAGGGTTTAAGGAGAAAAGAAGAGGCAGATCCCCCGCGAACTCCGCTTCTGTAAGCTTTATACAAACCTATATAAACAGCGAGGGCATATGATTTTATTAATCTTCTCGGTTAAATCATTGATAAATGGAATCCGAAGGTAACCATTTCAATTTGATCTGCTGATTTATCCAATCTCAAAATCTCACCCCGATCAGTACTATTCACATTACTCATATTATTTTTAATTGAAACTTCCCCGATTGTTAGGGCAAAGAACATCGTCAACTCCATCGGCAGTGCTGGCGTCACTCTTATGCAAAAGAGCCAAACTTCATGAAGAACTCCGTAACATCGAGAAGCAGGTGCAGGTTTTTTAAGGTTTTCGTTTTTGTTATAAATTTTTGTAGGGATATTTGTTTGAGGTGGGGGAAGGGGCTGCTGATGATGTTTTGGGGTAATTCTTTTGGCAGGTATATGATATGGAGACAAGTTATTTGCAGGATCCAAGCCAGTGTGGGAATGTTTTGAAAGGTTTTGAGGGGTTTCTATCCTCTTCCAAGAACACTACCCTGTAAAATTTCTTCAACACTTAAATGCAGTCCGCAAAGATGCTATTGAATTTTTCATGAGCAGCATGCACTGTAATGTAGTACTACTAGTTAATAAGTGGTAGTCGTTATGTTATATGCAATCGGGCTTTTGCTGAATTGGCTCTCTGAGACTTTGTGGGCTGTCTTGGGATTTTTTACAGAACGTTGATTCAGTTCATGGTCTAATGCTTAAATTTAGGTGATTTAGTATTTTCCAGTTGTGGGATTTAGTTTGTTTTATGGGCCATAACGCCACGTGATTTTGAAAATTGTTGTTTAAGTACGTACAGCTTCAAGCAAAGCAGTTTGATTTCAGCGCTGTATTCTAGTTGCCTGTCCTATATTGCATCTTTCTTAATCTGATATATTATTGGAGTATGTTCATTTGCTAGCTAGAGTTTGAGAGTTATGTAGTACCAATCATTCCCCAGAAAAGCTTCCAAAGATAGGCACTCAACTCCAGACATGAACGCAGTATCTAAGAATGATGGAAAACATGTTTAGCTTGGATTTATAAAGGGAAAGAGTAAACGCTTAATTTCCTCTCTCTCTCTCTCTCTCTCTTTTTTTTTTTTCTGGTCAAACATGTTGAGCATGTTGCCACATAAACTCTCACCTGCTATCTAGTTTAGCCTTCCACCTCCTCACAAACATTTGCAGGCTAATTTCACAGCTATATCCTTTTTATGTTCTTGTTGAAATATTTGACATTATTCAAGTTGATTGCAGTTTAAAGAGATCCAGGAAGTTTCAACCTGAAGATAGGCTGTTTTCATTATCTTCCACCACGTCACCGGCGGTATGTATCCGTAACCTTCATTTGAAGATGGTGGCTCACCGGCACACTAATTGCTAATTTTGTGTTTAATTAGACACGGATGTGGAACTTTTTACCTATTTATTCTTTTTCGCAACCCACTAGCAAGCTATGCACTTATATTCTTCCTAAGCTCGACTGATGTTCCAAAACGGTGCATGTAATAGAGTTTTTCATCTTTATATGTAATAAAACCATGCATTTTCTAGATTGACAGCATTTAGGGGATAAGATTCTTGGTAGGACAAAAGATGGTTTGAATGTCTAGCACTACTTATTTTCTGCAGATATAGAGGAATTATAAAGCATTGGTTCTCTCAATATCTCTGAGAGATCTGGATGAAGTGTTTTGTGTTTGGTGGGCTTGTTCTTTGGTGGATTAGGTTAAACAATACATATTGATAATGGAGATGGTTATATAGATTACTCAGAAAGTTTATTGATTCGGAAAATTCCTTGCCACTTGAATTTAGTTCCAAAAATGAATAATAAACTAGTAGCCTCTTACCACTTCATGTGCTAGCAAGATGGCTATTGGGAATAATTTTCTACCTTTTTGTGTAAAACATTTAGTCTGTGTTTTGCTATCCCCTGTGGAAACTCCCCCTAGTTTCTTTAAACCGGAATGACTTCTCTGTTGTTGACAAGTCTAGTCTTCTAGCACGAGACTTTGCATGTGTGAGTAAAGGAGGATGACAAATTCTGTAAACTGTTCATTAGCAATATCATCTTGACTGTTGTCTTTTTTTCTCTTCTCATTTGGATTTCCTTCATTTGCTCAGGCAGAAGAACAAGCTGCTGGACGAGATGGTGGGGCTTTATTGGCTAATGGACAGTAAGTATTTTATTTCGTCTGATGCAGGTAGTGCCTTCTGTGCGCATTGAAAATTTTGACATGGATAGGGATTGATTTGGATAAATTTTTGTTATCTCCACAGAGGGAAACCAAAGAAGGGTAGGGGTGGCCCTAGAGATGCAAAGAGATCGAGGCAATCAAGCGAACCAGATTTTGACTATGAAGACGATGCTGATTTAATGTAGTGGTGACTCCTCGTATGATGGTACATCTGTTGGTCTTGCATGATGCAGGTTGATAACTTCATTGCGAATGCATTCTAACCGAGGTGGAAATGGAGCTTTTTTGGTTGTCATAATGTACATTATTATGCGATCCTTGCTTGGCTATCATTTCAGCATATGCTGTTGTAAGTAGATATGTACAAATCCCCATGATTTTCATGCAAGAAGGGAAAAAACAACTAAGGCAGGACATCTTTTTCAATCATCTTGTCTTGGCAGGGATAGAATTACTTTGGCGCTTGGCAGTCAAAAATTTTGTGGCCGACTGGATCCGGCAAATTGCAATTGTCATTTTGTCGAGATCCTTGGTATTCTGAGATTCTCCGTTGCTAGTTCGACATTGTTAAAGTTCTGGGGCTAGAAATCTATGCCTTTACTATCAGATGTCAAGGCTGCGACACCCCTCTTCATGTTTGTTGTGGAATAGTAGAGTAGGTTCACATTTTTTTCCGGTTGAATGTCGTATATGGTGTCGGCTATTTTTGATTACCTGCTGATGTTGCTTTGGCATCTTCCTCCTCATAATGTGTTTTTAAGTCCAATTGTACAAGATGTCGGAGAGGGTGGAAGACCATCTGTCATTTTTTTGGGTCTAGACCTCTATTCCGGTCCTTATCCCTGCTAATTTTCAAGCATATCATGGTAACAGCGAAAGAAAGGAAAAGGAAAAGTAGGAATGTACCTGTGGTCCTTTCTTTGCTCCGCAGAGAGGAACGTTTTCTATAAAATCTGGGGTGGCACCGCTCGGCTTGCAAAAAAGTGGGAAAGCTTACTTTCAACGCACCGCCTGGGGGTCCATGGGATTCCATTTCTTTCCACTAACACTACTGTCTAAATTGTTTTGGTGCAAATCTTCATTAGCTACCTTCTTTTCCTCGAAAGCCATCAACCTTCCATTAAAAAAAGTAGAAGTGTTCTTTCGTCTTTGCGCAACAAAGTAATAATTGGACATATTTACAGCTTCTGCCCCAACTCCAAACCACACCATCAATTCAAGGGCCTCAACCAAGGAAGTCAAAAGGCACAGAGAAAGACAAAAAAGGCTTTTCAACAAAATTACGTTAACCTCGTTGGAGGTTTGGATAATCATGGAAATCCTTGGAGGTATTTTTATTACAAAATATTTTTAATCCTGGACTTTTGCATCGGGTGATTCCATATCTATAAGCTTATGATTGCTAGTACTAGCATGTAGATAACAATTACATGAACCATATAAAGATCTGGTAGGTAAATGGTCACTGCAGTTCTCAAAACCCCATGGGACATGGTTATTCTTACGTCATCAAAAATGAAAAAATCCGAGTAATGGGCTATCGTCAATTGTATTTTAGCACATAGGGGACTTGAATTTGGTCGGTAGATCTTGGCCAACTTCCTTTTTTTAGCACATAGGAAATTTTGGTTGCTTTTCTCCTCTGGTTTTGGGAATATATGCTTTTCTTTCCTTTATCCCGTTTTCTTTTCTTCTCAGTCCAAAAGTCTTTATCTGACTTTCCGTCCGAAACCTTATAACCACATTCCTTTCCCCCGTCCATTACCGCAGAATCAAACTTGCAGTTCAGGTTTACACAATCACATTCATACTCTCATTTCTTCTTTGAATATTTGAAACTTCTCTTCGTGGCCCTCCCGCAGTTACCGTATCTTCAGCTATGTCTTTCAGAATCAGAGGAGTATGTCTTTCTCTGCTTCTCTCCGTTTTCACGAGCTCGTGAATTTTTTCTTCTTGATCATGCTGATGATTTTAGTGCGAAACTTGTACTCCAATTTATATGCTCCTTAAAAGGGCGTCGTTTCGAAAAATTTTCTGTTTGATAGTTTGGAGCGGTTGACATTTTTCAGGTAATAATGACGACCGGGTTTCTTTTTTTTTTTTTTTGTATATTATATTGCAGCAAAATGCTACTTCTGGTATGGGAGTTGCTGATCACAGCAAAGATGCATTCTTGGAGTTGAAGAGGAAGAAGGCTTACCGCTATGTTATATTCAAGATCGATGAGAAGAAAAAGGAAGTTGTAGTTGAGAAAACTGGCAATCCAGCTGAAAGCTATGACGATTTTACTGCTTCCATGCCTGAAAATGATTGCCGTTATGCAGTCTATGACTTTGATTTTGTCACCTCTGAGAATTGTCAAAAGAGCAAGATTTTCTTCATTGCATGGTTAGTACTTTCTCATCCAGTCTTTTAACATTTTTTTGCCTCCTCTCTATATCTACTACCATCTTTCTTCTTCTTTTTTCTTTTTTGTGTTATAATTTTTTTTCTGGCTCTTGTGGGCAAAAACTTTGCTGAAAAAGAAGAAAATTGGATGTGCCACTCAGTTGACATAACCAGTTTCACTCCCTTTGATACGCCTAATGTTAGGACAAACACATCGATTTAAGTTAGCGTTTGACAGATTAATTGTTCATAACCTGTACAATTGTCTGCTGTTTGTTTTTAATTTCTATACTTGCAATAACTTGAATAGATTACTTACTGATGGTTGTGACTTATCAAGCGCTATCTTTCTGGCCTTATATTTTCTCTTTCACGATAATGATATCTTCCTGATACTGACTAACTTGATACAGAATTTAAGATTTTACCATGCGCAGCTCTTATGTGAGGTATCTATTTGACTATGGTCATATGCATGTTTATCAGGTCTCCTGCAATCTCTAGAATTCGTGCCAAGATGCTTTATGCTACATCCAAAGAAAGGTTTAAAAGAGAGTTGGATGGAATTCATTATGAAATTCAGGCTACTGACCCTACTGAAATGGATCTCGAAGTTATCAGGGACCGTGCAAATTAAAGCTTCTGATGTTCATTATCTTTGTAAGAAGCAAAAATTGATAGAGCTCCATCTTCAAAGCAATTATCATGTTGACTCCTTTGAGCTATCCACATATCCATTTCTGGAGCAAGTGCTGCAAAAATAATGATACCTGGAGTTACTGATTTGAGGCCATGGTCAGTCTCTAGTTGCCTAGTGTATAATGTTCTAGTATGACTTGCTTCTTCTCATGAGGCGTTCATAATCTTGACTCGAGTACATACATTAGGCGTATATTTGGTTCAACAGACTTTGGTTTGTTTATTGTGTATTGCACTTTAAGGAGAATAATGCCAAAAGCCTTTTCCTTCTTTCCCTCTCAGTTACATGTTAATTCTGCAGCTCTTTTTATAAACTTATGCTCTATAAATCATTGGCAACACCCACATTTCAATCCTTAAGTTCCCAGAGATAGTATTAGAAAATTAAGCATAACTTCGTCAGTAAATTTAAGGCAATTGCCAGATTAAAACATGGATGTCCGTGAGTTAATGTAGAATCCGCGATCAGGCACTCCTTGTTAGTCTGATATATGTTACTTGACTTGTAAAGCCTTCTTCACGAGAGGTGCACAGAAGCAAGTAGAATAAAACTAAAGGAGGAGAAGGTGAAAAGCATCTGTTCTGCCGATGAGACCTCTATCCTAAAAATGAACGACATAAACATGCACTTGCTTGTATGCAGAAGAAGAAAAGATCAATCGTTTTGCTGGGAAGCACAATGACTCCAAGACAATGGTTTCCCATTGTATTCTATTTATTGCTATGTACTTTTTCTACTATTATCAGAACCACTTGCGTAGTTAACTCTGTGTGGGCTGCTGTGCCTGTTGGTCCTCACCTGAAATTTCTTCTAGAGACCTGCCCTTTGGTTCAGGCACTAAGAACGTAAACAGTGCACCCAAAAGATTGATGACAGCCAACACAATCAGCGAATTTCTCATTCCAATGCCAGGTGGATATCCTGCATCTGTCTTTGTCTTATCTTGGTTTTGAGCCAAATACAAGAACCCAAACGCACCCACAATTGCACCTAATTTTCCAGATGCAGCTGAAATGCCATGGCAGGTTGCTCTCAACCTGGCTGGAAAAATCTCAGCAGGCACAATGAATGTAGTGGCATTGGGACCAAAATTTGCAAAGAAGAAGGTTAACGAGTACAGTACCACAAAGCCAACATGGTTTCCTTTAGCCCAGTGGTCGTAGGGGATGGCCAAAGCAAGCATAAAGATTGTCATCATACAGAAGCCCATCAACTGAATGGCAAACCTTCCCATCTTGTCAATCAGAAAGACAGTGAACCAATATCCTGGGACTGTACCGCACAAGGCAATCAAGGTTTGTGCCTTGGCGATCTTGAAGACTTCCTCGATGGCATTCATAGACTTTGCCGAGGGAAGCCATCCAATTGCAGAGAAGATGTCCTTTTGGAACAAATTTTGACTGTAATATGCAATATCAAGTAAAAACCATGTGGTGGTTGTACCTAACAAGTGAAGCCCATGGCGCCGAAGAAACTCCTTTGTGAACAAGCCAAATGAGCCTGCCGATTTTTGAGTTGTCTGGATGTTGATTTCTTGTTGTGCTTCCAAATCGACCTGTAGAACCTTAGACATGTCAGCGGTAGCTTGTTTTCCATTCTTGGCAACCAAAGCCGTATACCGGGCAGTCTCAGGCATCTTCATCCGCCAATAGTAAGTCAATGCAGCAGGGATTGCTCCAGCCATGAGAATTATCCTCCAAACATAGTCTGCCTGAGGAACAGTTGAGCCAGCGGGGTCGAGTGCAAAAGATGGAGCCTTAAACCTTGCATTGAAAATTGCAGAGATGATGATGGCAAAGATGCCACCAGATAATATCCCAAATCCCTGCATGGCAAAAACAGCAGCTATGAAACCGCCACGAGTCTTTTTATTTGCGTACTCTGACATGATGGTGGCCGACAGCGGATAATCGCCTCCGATGCCGAAACCAAGCCAAAACCGCCAAAAGCATAGTGTTCCCATGACAAATTTTGGACCATGCCCGAAGGAATGCCCCGAAGCAATTGAGGCAAGAACCATGATCATAAGCGTGATTCCGTACACCTTTTTGCGGCCCATTTTATCCCCAAGCCATCCAAAGAAGAGTTGGCCGGCCAGAGTTCCGCAAAATGCTACCCCATTTACCGCAGCTGATACGTTAGGAGGTAAGCTGCCTGGTTTTTCTGCTCCTTCGACGTAGTAGTATGTGCGGCCCAACAACTTTGTGACAAGGGATATGCAGAAGAGATCATATGCGTCCGTGAAGAAGCCCATTCCAGCAATGACAATTGCAGTGAAATGGTACCATTGTGTTTTTGCGACGTCAAGTGCATTAAGCACGTTATTTTGGGTTTCAGGCATTGCTGGCTGCAAACTTCTCTGCTTAAAACTTATCTGCTCTTCTACGAGTACTCCCAAGCCTTTGTCCTGCCTTGGTAAAGATATCTGCAGAAACCGCACCCACAGATTTTAGATCATGCTAGCTGAAACTTTCCTCGAAATATGTTACTACATTTTTTTTTGATAAAACAAAAAGGACCCTTTAAGTTGTAGCATGTATTTCCAAATTCTCAGGACATCGTGTTAGGTTTTTGAAGACTAACCATTTTCTGAA